CGGAGCGTTTGATTCATGCCGCCCCGGCGGAGTGTGCCCGCTCCCTCCCTTGGGGCCTGAGGAGGAGGGGCCGGGGCTGGTCCTGGGGGTTGAGGGGCAGCCGCACGCGCGGGCAGACCCGGCTAGCTTTGCTTTCAGGCCTCCGGCTACCCCATCAGTGCCCGGTTGAGGCTGGGTGGTCAGCCAGGGTCAGCCGAGGGGGAGTGGCTGCGGGCCCTAGGTCCGGAGGTGGGATGTGGAGTCCAAGGGTAGGAGGCGGCCTGGGTCTCCGCAAGGGCAAAGTGGGGGCAGCTCTGCTGGGAACCTAGAGGAGGAGGGGGCTTCGAAGCTGTGGCCAGCTGTGGCCGTGCTTGGGGGAGGGGCTGGCTGACCCCTGGTTAGATGCTGGCTCGCCCACAGCTGTTGGAACTCTTCTCCCCACCTCGCACACATTTTGTCTTCCCTCCCCCAACCCCCAGCCCGTCCCCACTCCCCCAAAGTCAGCAGTACCCTCCACTGTTTCCCATCTCCATGGCAACGTGCAGGAGCTGGGCCTGGTGTGGGGGGGAGGGACCAGACTAGACATTCTGGTTTCCGGTGCTGGGGTGGGAGTGGGGGAGAAAATGAGGAAAGAGGACCCCATTTGGGACCATACTTGTAAGGCCACTCACAGATGAAGAATTGTGGGGATCTGGAGAGGACTTCCCACCCCAGTCCCCCAGACCCTCACCCCACTTCTTAGCCTCCCTCCCAGCCCCCCTAGTCTCCCTCACAGTGGGGCCCCAGTACCAGGCAATTCCAGTCCACCCACCCAGCAGCACTGAGCCTCAAACACAACCCGCAGCTCATCTGCAGCCACCCCACAGCAACCCAGGCCACCACTCTGCTGTCACCTAGACAGCCTTCCAGGGGCCAGACTACCCAGCCACCGACACACCCTCTCAAGATGCCCCTCAGTAACTCGCCTAGGCCGCATTGTGTGGTTTCCCCCAGGACACCCCATGCATGGTACTCTGCCCCATGACACCCTCATCCCAGTGCCCCTGTCCCCCTGGTTCCCCAGCAGCACTCAGCCACACTTCAGTGAAGTCACCAGCGCCACCAGCTCTACCGGCACCACATGGCCTCCTGCTCCTGCCAACCCTTAGCTCAAGACACCTCCCTCTCCCCCTTACTACATGTCAGCCTTCCCCCACCCCACACCAGCTATCCAGGAGGAAGATGGGAGGGCCTCAGGTGAGGGGCCAGGCTGGGGCCAGGAGGGCAGGGTGCCGGTGGGTCGTCCACCTGTCTGTCCTCAGCTAATTTTAGCTGCATTATCTGTGGCCTGGCAAAGTGGGCCAGTAGCTCCCGCGGTGATTCTGCGGTTTCTGGGACATCACCACGCTGGGTCAGCGGCAAAGTGGGGCGCAGGAGGGGCGGGGGGCTGCGAGCAGGGCCAAGGGCAGGGAAGGAGACGCGTGCTGGCGGCATGGCAGGGCTGGGGAGGTGTGTACACCGCCAGAGAGCTTGGCAGCAGGAGGAGTGTCTGGGGGGTGTGTCCAGCTTCCTTCCTGCCTACCTCAGGCAGTGTGGGGTGGCTGCCCCTGACCACTGGTCCACCAAATGTGCCTGTGGCCTCCGAGGGGTCTGGGCTGCTAGACTGACAGCCACCCTTGCCACCCACCCCCCCGCCGCAGCCGCCTGTGATGCTGCCGTGCCCCGTCGCCCCGTGGCCCCACGATGACCAACAGCCCCGCGACAAGCGAGGACGAGGAACGCCACAGTGCCAGCGAGTGTCCCGAGGGGGGCTCAGAGTCCGACAGCTCCCCAGACGGGCCAGGGAGAGGCCCCCGGGGGACCCGGGGCCGGGGCAGCGGGGCACCTGGTAGCCTGGCCTCAATCCGAGGCCTCCAGGGCCGCTCCATGTCTGTCCCGGACGACGCCCACTTCAGCATGATGGTCTTTAGGATTGGCATCCCGGACCTGCACCAGACGGTGAGCGACTGCCCGCTGGCCGGCGGGGGTGGGGTGGACAGGGGCCCAAGCCCCCATGGGGAGGCCTCTGGTGCTGAGGGTCCTCATGTGTGGCCCCCATTTCCAGACCCCCATGGATTTCCCCTAATCCCGCTCTATCCCCAGAATCACCCACACCCACTTTCCAAACCACCTCAGGATCCTTTCTGTTGCCTCCCCCACCAGAAATGCTTGCGCTTTAACCCTGATGCCACCATCTGGACAGCCAAGCAGCAGGTACTTTGTGCCCTGAGCGAGAGCCTGCAGGACGTGCTCAACTACGGCCTATTCCAGCCGGCCACCTCGGGCCGGGATGCCAATTTCCTGGAGGAGGAGCGGCTGCTGCGGGAGTACCCCCAGTCCTTCGAGAAGGGGGTGCCCTACCTGGAGGTGAGGCCCAACACCTTCCTGGCCCCTTCACAGATGAGAGAAAGTGTGTGCTGAAACATCTGTCCCCTCCTGGGTCTTCTCCCAGCCCAGACCTTAGCAAGGGAAAACCCAGTGGACATCTCTGGATTTTTCGGGGCCACTTAAGAATCAGAGTCAGAGAGGTTTAAGTTCAAATTACCATCCATTCTGCCTCTGACCAGCGGACTGGCCTTAGGCAAGTCATTTCCTTGCCCTAAGCTTCCCCTTGCAAATTCAATTGGGAAAGGATTCCCAATTACAGTAAGCGTTCTAGAACATTCCCTGTGGGGTCCAGACTCCTTAGGGTTGCAATTCACATACCCAGAGTGGCCCAGCACCACTCTGTCCACCCAGCCAAGGCTCTGCAGCTGTTTCCACCCTCACCCTGAGCTGACCCCTGGCTCAAAAGGAGGGTCCAGCCTCCTCTTCCAGACCCCTGACTCCAAGTCTCTGTCTCTCCGTTCACCCCACCCCGACCTCAGTTCCGATACAAGACCCGAGTTTACAAACAGACCAACCTGGATGAGAAGCAGCTGGCCAAGTTGCACACCAAGGTGAGAGGACTCTGCTGGCACTTACCCCCTGCTCCGGAGCCCCCTCCCCAACCGCTTCCTCCCCCACCTCTTCCCACAGCCCTCCACATTCCCCAGCCTTTGTCTTCCTCTGCGAGGGTCTCCCACTTAACTTGGGATGCTGTGTCTCATTTGGGACAACCTCAGATGCCCCAGGCACCCCCATCATAACCTTTTTTAACTTCTCTCTTTGCTCCTTGTGGCTCTGCCCAGACCCATACCTGGTTCCCACTTCCTTCATATTTGGATTCTCTCCTCTCTCCTGGGTCCCCCTCCTTGGCCTGTGACTCTGACATCTAGTGTCCCTCATAGACACCCTGCAGCTTCCCCAATCCCATAGCCTGAATCTATACCAGATCCAAGGAGGCTCCCCGCCCCAGCCACATTTATCCTCCTGGCACCTTGCCCTCTAGTCCTCAGACCATATGTCCCCTGTGTCTCCTCTGGTCCCCTAGTAGCTAGGAGGAAGCCAGGGGGCTACTTTGGTCAGAAGCAAAGTGAAGGATTCTTGATATTTGGAAAGAAAGCCCTCTGGCTAATTCTCATCCTCACCCCTGTCCCACCCCAACCCTACCCCACCGCACCACACATTTGTCTCTGTCTTTCCCTAAATATTCTATCCATCAGACATCCTCTGTGGGAGCAAGGAGTTGGGAGCCGCCAGCCACATACTGCTCCTGGGTACCCGCGGTCTGAACTGAGCCTCACTGCGAGTGTGAAATACACACAGATTTCAAAGACTCAATACCCACCAAAAGTAAAATATCCCATTAATAAATTTCATGTGAATTACCCATTGAAACAGTAATGTTGTGGATTTAGTAGACTAAAAAGAGACAGGTCATTAAAGTGAATTTCAATACAATTGGAAGTTCCCCTTCCCCAACTTTTTTTCATTTTAAAGGTAGATACCAGGGACTTGACAATGACATGTGTGGCTTGCTGTGTATTTCCACTGGACAGCGTTGCTCTAGAACTCAGCTTTGCTCTTGTGCTCCCTGACCAGCCTGTCTTCTCTCTTGTCTGTGGCTCAGACGGGGTTGAAGAAGTTCCTGGAGTACGTGCAGCTCGGGACGTCCGACAAGGTGGCACGGCTGCTGGACAAGGGGCTGGACCCCAATTACCATGACTCGGATTCAGGAGGTAAGGAAGGAGGCCAGGGGTTTTGGGAGAACTGGGGTGTCAAGAACGAGGCCTGGGGACTGCATGTGACTAGCCTTTCCCGCCCCCCCAGAGACCCCCTTGACGCTGGCTGCCCAGACAGAAGGCTCTGTAGAGGTGATTCGAACCCTGTGCCTGGGCGGGGCCCACATCGACTTCCGGGCCCGGGATGGCATGACAGCGCTGCACAAGGCCGCGTGTGCCCGTCACTGCCTCGCTCTCACGGTGAGGTGCCAGATCCTCCCGGGACCCTCCCCAGAGCCCAGAGACACCCCCAAATGACCATGTTTCCCATTCAGACTGCACCCAGCGAACTGCCCCAGACCCTTCCTCCACCTCCCCTTCATTGTTACTCCTCTGACTGAATCTGAGACCCTTCTTGGACCTCCAGGCACACCCACCCTCCCCAGCTCAAGGCTCATGATCAGTTACAGCTGATGGTCACATGGACCCTTGCCCTACACTCAGGTAGATCACATTAATCTCCTGACAGCTGGAACGTTTCCATTCCCTCTGACCGACCTCAACACCAACACCTACCTTTGTCTTCCTGAGGTGTAGACCCTCCTAGTGTCCGTTAAAATACAGAATGAGCTCCCCAGATACAGACCCTCCTCCATATATATCCTACAAACACAGCTCCTCCACCTGCCTCCTCCACACACTGACTCTCGTGCTTCCCAACACAGACCCTCCATCCACCCTTTCTAATCTAGTGGCTCACACCCCAAATATATCCCCTCTCTCACATGAAATACAGCCCCTCCCCTAGTGCAGTGCCTAAAATATACTTTCCCAAATAGGTAACCCTGGGGGGTGGGTATAGCTCAGTGGTAGAGTGCATGCTTAGCATGCACAGCATCCATGAGGTCCTGGGTTCAATCCCTAGTATCTCCATTAAAATTTTTTCTTAAAGTACCCAAATAGGTGAGCCTCATAGACCTTCAAAATATATACAAAGAGTCAGCTTGCCCAGTCTTATTTTAAAACACTCTTCCTCTCCCCCACCGCCCAAGGGTACCTGATGCCTCTTCGTACACAGGTCAGGATAGACTGCTTCCAAAGATACATAGGTGATAATAAACACCTTGATTCGTAGATGCTTCAGCTTAACAGACCCTCCCTTCCTTTCTCCAACCCTTCCTTGAAGACCCCTAAAGGCAATCAGACACCAGCCGCAAAGGTCTACCTTATACCCCCGGAATCAACAGATCGCCCTCCCAAGTGCATACCCCCGCCCCAGACCCAGGTCTTGCTCACACTCCCAGGCTTTCGTTTTCCTATCCAGTAGCCACTAGCCAAACGGGGGCTGTTTTTATTTAAATTGATTAAAATGAACTAGAATTAAAACTTCCATTTCTCAGGCTCAGTAGCCCCATTCAAGCGCTCGGTAGCCCACACGCAGCTGCCATACTGGATGGTGCAGTAGTAGGCTGTTTCCATTACCACAGATGTTGAGTTGGACGGTGCCGCCGCAGGCTCTCCTCTTGCAGGACAGCCGCCAACACTCTTTCCTAACAGGCTTGATGCCACCAGCCTTCCGTGCCCAGAGCTGTTCTTGAGTGAAAGCGCTCCCTGCCCCAAGCCCCCAGCCCCAGGAAGGTTGGCCCAAGTTGCCTTCACCCAAGCTTGCCCTCTCCCAGGCCTCTGTCGTGCCTTGTCCTTGGGATCCTGGTCCTAATAACACCTCCCACTCAGCCAGGGGCCCTCCGGCAGCCAGACTCCGTTCTCTCATTTGTCCCCCACAACCAGCCTGCTGAGTAGGTCGGCAGTGAGGCATTCAGCTCCTTCAGTGGCTCATCTGAAGTCGCCCATGAGGGAAGGTTGGGCAGGATTTCAAAGTGGAAGGGTCCTCTGGAGGCATCTTCCCAGTCCCTTCCTTCACAGGGATGGGAGAGGTCCAGAGAAGGGAAAGGCCAGTCTCAAGGTCGCTCAAGGGCATCATGGCAGAACCGGGCCTGGCACTGGCCAGTGTGGATCACCCAGGACTCCCTGCCCAACTGGCCCTTCAGGATGAGCCCGTCCTTGTGTGACTGTCATCTGTGTTGTTTCCCTTCCTAGGCGCTCCTGGACCTTGGGGGCTCCCCCAACTACAAGGATCGCCGGGGGCTGACTCCTCTGTTCCATACGGCCATGGTGGGGGGCGACCCCCGCTGCTGTGAGCTGCTCCTATACAACAGGGCCCAGCTGGGCATAGCTGATGAGAACGGCTGGCAGGAGATCCACCAGGTGCTCTGGACTTGGTCGGGAGAGGCTGGGGGCAGTGTGAGACGTGCCTGGACCCTGAGCGGGGCAGGGATCCAGATGCTGGGGTCCTCACAGAGGGTGGGGGTAGTAGTAGCAGGTCCTTAAAGAGGAAAAGATCGGAATGTCAATACCGGGACTCTCAAGGGGTGTGGGATGGGAACTCTGAAATGAGCAAGGATGGCCTCCTGGCTCTCCTGAGGAGCCAGCTCAGAGACCTGGGCCTTGGATAACTTGTGAAGCTGACAACCTGGGCTCCTAAGCGGGAATGGGGACTGAAAGGAGGAGGGGAGGTGGAGGCGGGGCTTCTTGACCTCGAGGTGAAAGATACAGACAGATGCCATGGTCACAAGTGTCTGATCAGGCCTCCTGGGCTCCCTGTCCTCTCCAGGCCTGTCAGCGGGGTCACTCTCAGCATCTGGAACACCTACTCTTCTACGGGGCTGAGCCTGGAGCACAGAACGCCTCGGGGAATACGGCCCTGCACATCTGTGCCCTCTACAATAAGGTCTGCCCTGCGGCACCTGCTCCAGGCCCTTCTCCTGACTCCAGCCTCCCAGCCTCCCTGTGCCCTCTGCGCATTGACTATTTCATTCATTCATTCATTCATTCATTCAATTGGTGAATATTTTTGGAGCCCCTTCCCTGTGTCAGGCCCAGAGCTGGGTGCTGAGGACACAGTAGTGAGCAAGACAGACAGCCCCTCCTTCAAGGGACCCACCCTACGGTTACAGTCCCTGGGGTTCAGAGGGAGGTCATGGGGAATCCAGGTCCCTGTGGGAGCCCAGATCTGGGCTTGGACTTGGAGCTGGGGTGGAGGTGGCTCTTGGGAAGATGTGCCACCTGTGCTAAGGTGAGCAGGAGTTGGCTGAGTAGAATAGGGGAGAAAGAGTGTTCCAGGTGGAGGGCATAGCCTGCGCAAAACAAACAAACAAACCAAAAACCAAAACCAGACCAGAGGGGAGAGAGTCAGGATCGTTACTGGACATACAAGAAACTCTGAGGGTCCTGTTTCCAATGGGTCTCTGTTCAGCTGCCAGTGACGCACTTACTGCAGGGCACAGGGGACAGGTCAAACCACAGTCCCCAATGGGGACAAGAGTGTGTTGCAATTCAGGGCTGGGTGGATGGTCCCCACTTTGGGAGTTCTGAGTGGAGGGGAGTAGGAAAGAACTGGCCAGGGGGCAGGGGGTCCTCATGCCTGCACCAGTTATGCTGTAGTGGGCAGTTGGGTTGGCAAGAGCCTGGTGACTTTGGCCCCTTTGCCACTCATGCACCAGGTGATCTGGGGCAGGTTAGCCACCTCGGAGCCTCAGTCTCCCCACCTGCTTCCCAAGGCTGCAGGGACTTAGAAGGACAGGGCCTGGCATGCTGCAGCCGGTCCATCAGCCCTTTCCCTCACCCCTCCTCCAGGAAGTCTTCCAGAACAGCCTCAGCCCCTTCTGCCTCATGAGAACTTGCAGTGCCAGGATGTGGCAGGTAGCCACGTGCCGCCTTGTGGCAGCAAGTCTGCTCAGCGCCCGCAGAGGGAGAGAGAACTCAGTGTTTGTCAGACTGTACCAACCAGTGCCGTCACTTCGCCTCCCCAGTGCGTCTGTCTCTCCTGCTCCCGGACACGGGCCTCGCCTCGTGTCCAGATGCCCTGACTCCAGGGCCCGTGCAAGGCAGGGCACCCCAAACAAACCCCATCCCATCTCTGAGGCTCCATTCCCCTCCCTGAAATGGGAATACTCAGCTGATTAAAGGGGATGAAATGCCAGGCGTATAGAAGGCAGCTTTAATTATGATTATTATTATTATCATTATCACCATTAGCGGTCAGGATCCGGCCAGGAGACAGAAACCATACCAGTAATTTTTTTTTTTAATGGAGGACCAGGGATTGAACCCAGGACCTTGTGCCTGCTAAGCACGTGCTCTACCAACTGAGCTGTTATCTTTACCCTGCCCTGGTTTCGAACAGGGAAAATGTAGTGTATATAGTTTTAGAGTGGGAATAATTATTCTGAGTGGGTCGGATGAGCTAGCCATGTCCCCCACCTTGAGCTTCCCCTTTCTGACCTGTGAAATGGATCTGTAACACCTACCTTGCAAAGGATGGAGGGGGCAAATGTTCTGCTTGCTCTTGGCATGGTGGTTAGTGAATAATGCTTGACAAACATGAATTCTTTTTCTATTTCTCTCCCCTTATCTTCCCTCCCAGACCTTAAGCTTCCCAAGGCCCAGAGCTGAGTCTGAGAGATTTTCTCACTCTCTGCTCTCCTGACCCCCTGGCCTGATCATCTCGCCTCTGGTGGTGAAAGTTAGGTCAGTGTCCAGGCTGTGAGCTCCTCAAGGACAGAGCCTCAGTCTGATCAATTGCTCTGTCCCAAGGCCCCAGCAGATAGTAAGCTTAGATGCATCTTTGTTGAATGAGTGAGTGAGTGAGTGAATGAATGAATGAATGAATGATGAGGCAGATGCCTTGGATTTTCTCCAAGACTACGCACAGCAAACAGCTCAGAACATTCAACAGGTGTTTGCTTCGAGCTAGATTGACACTCCGTGAATGAATGCATGACTTGAACGAATGAATTTTGAATGACTCCATCCTCATCCTTTCTGTGCCTCTTTCTTGAGCACCTACTATGTACCCGGATGGGAGATGAATCAGGCACGCCATGGCGCCTGTGCTCAGGAGGGTGGGGCGAGTTCACAGTCTGGTGAAGAGGCAGACGTGTAAACAAATCGGCAATATGGTGAGATAAGTGCTAGGACACCAGTAAATACGAGGGTCTCTAGAAGTGGAGTGAATATCTCTTTCAGCTGAAAGAGATGCTCTGGCCTCGTGCTAGGCAAGGTGGTGGTGGGGGCAGGCAGATATGCAAAGACACACTGGCACTAGTTAACAGTCTGATCGGGGGGACAACAGGTGCACACATGGGCACACACTCACACTCACACACACACCCAGAAAACAACCCGGGCTAACTTTGCTATCCAGCGGACTTACTTGGATAATCAGAGTTGTGCTTTCACAGGAGAGAGATGAGCACTAGGATTAGAAGGCTTGGTCTGAGTCTTAGCTGCCCCACTGACTGACTGTGTGACCTTGGGCACAGATTTTCCCTCTCTGAGCCTGTCCTGTAGGATGGACCCATACAAGCTTCCTTGGTGGGTTTGTCACATGAAGAGGATGAGACCAAGAAGGTGTTTGGTGAATGCTGGTTAAATTAGCATCTGGAGGATCTGGAGTGGAGCCGAGCAGGGGCCCAGGTTGGGTTGGGCCAGACCAAGACAAAGAGGGAGGACACTCCCCCATCCAGAAACTGTTTATTGAACAACTCCTGTGAGCCAGGCACTGTTCCAGGTGGCAGGTGCCACAGGCAAAACCCTGCCCCTATGAAATGAACAGTGTAGTGGGGAAAAGATGCTAGAGACAAATAAAATAGAACTATAATTTCAGGGAGGCAGTGTGATAAGGAAAAGGAGTTAATTCTGGCTTAGAAGAATACCTGGCACATAGTGTCATATAAATAAAAATAAAACCGGGAAGACGAAAAGTGATTCTTTTCGACAGGGTAGTCAGAGAGGCCCTTTCTGAAGAAGTGGCATTTGTGCAAAAACATGAATGAAGTGAGAAAGCGAGCTGCATGGAGATCTAGGGGCAGAGAATTCCAAGCAGAGGGAGCAGCAAGTGCAAAGGCCCTGGGGCAGGAGCCTGCCAGGCAGAGGAAGAAGGAGGCCAGGGTGGCTGGAGTATGGGGAGCAAGGAAGTTGGTGAGACTGGGGATGGGGATGGCTGGGCCAGTAGATCACCTGGGGCCTCCTCGGCCAGGGCAAGGACATTGGGTTTGACCCAAAGAGTGTGAAAGAGTGACATGTTGTGACTGACACTAGTAAGGAATTGATCTGGGTGTGGATGGCATCCCTGCCCCTCACTGTCCAACCCTGGCCCCACTGCCCCCACTTCCTTTTGGGTTTAGCAGAGTGTGTGGTTAAGAGCAAAGGCTGTAGGGGAGAGCAGGGAGAGGGTAGAGCTCAGTGGTAGAGCATGAGCTTAGCATGCATGAGGTCCTGGGTTCAATCCTCAGTACCTCCATTTTAAAAGTAATAAAATAAAATAAATAAATAAACCTAATTACCTCCCCCTCAAAAAAATTAAAAAAGAAAAAAGAGCGAAGGCTCAGAGGTCAGACAAACCTGAGTTCACATCCGAGTGCTGTTCAGTCACCAGCTACATGACCTTGAGCTCCTTTTGAAGCCTTAGTTTCCTCGTCCGTAAAATGGGGACGATGATTTCCGTCTCATGGGATTATTGGGCGATTAAGCGAGCTTCTGCCTCTCCAGCGCTGAGCGCCTGGCAGGCAACAGGGGAAGCCCTCCAAGAGGTTTGGACTGGTGGCTCTCAACCCGCATGCTTCTGCCCCCTAGGGGACATTTGGCAGTGTCTGTAGATATTCTGGGTTGTCACGACTGGGGAGGGGAATGCTACTGGCATCTAGTGGCAGAGCCCAGGGATGCGATTCAGCATCCTACAATGCACAGAATGGCCCCGATACAAAGAATTGTCCAGCCCCAAATGTCAGTATGAAGATGAAAAACCCTGGTCTAGGTTGATGTGGGCCAATAGAATATAACTCGAGCCACACATGTAATTTTAAATATCCCAGGAGCCACTTTTTCAATAAAAAGTTTCTAAATAAAATAAAATAAATGTTTAGAATTAAAAAAGGAAAATAAACAGGTGACATTAATTTTAGTAGCAAATTTTATTTAACCCCATATATCCACAAATATTACCATTTCAACATGTAATCAGTAGAAATATCCCTCAGAGATATTTAAATTACCTTTTCCATGCCAGGTCCTTGAAATCTGGTGTGTATTTTGCACGCACAACACCTCTCAGTTCAGACTGGCCACACTTAAAGGGCGAGTGGCTGCTGTCCTGGGCAAGACAGGTTTCAATCAGATTATTCCTGAAGTTCTTAACACAGTGTCTATGTCCAGTCATGGTGACCTTACCTGTTCGGTTCTTTTTTTTTCCGTTTGACCTTGTGCCACTGACCACCACCCTCAGGAGACCTGTGCTCGGATCCTCCTCTATCGAGGTGCCAACAAGGATGTAAAGAATAACAACGGACAGACCCCCTTTCAGGTGCGAGGCTGTCAGCGCTGCTTGGGGGTCACGTCTGTGTTAGACGGGGGAGGATGGAGATGCAGGGGTGAAAGTTGGGGAAGGCAGCTGGCCGCAGACCTCACAGTGTTTCCTGCTCTCTCTCTTTCTCTCCTGCCTGCACCCCCCACCTCCCTGCACCCCTCCCCCCCAGGTGGCAGTGATTGCTGGGAATTTTGAACTAGGGGAGCTGATCCGAAACCACCGAGAACAGGACGTGGGTGAGTTAGGCGGGGCTGGCACTAAGGAGAGAAGCTGGGGTCCTGGGGGTGCACGGTGGGATGGGGGAGTCAGTGGATCTGATTTGGGGGCCAGGATTAGGGGAACATTTGAATTGTGGTAGGGGTACAGTTTCAGGCACTCCACTGTTTCTCATCTCTGTCTTTCTCCCCTCATGCCTCTCCCCCACCATCTCTTGCCCGCATGCCTTCCCCACCCACCTCTGTCTCCCTCTGGCCTCCTGCCACCGTGCCCTCTCAGTGCCCTTCCAGGAGTCCCCCAAGTACGCAGCCCGGCGACGGGGAACCCCAGGCGCAGGGCTGACGGTGCCCCCCGCGCTGCTCCGGGCCAACAGTGATACCAGCATGGCCCTGCCAGACTGGATGGTGTTTGCCGCCCCGGGGACCTCATCTGCCGGGGCTCCTGGCCCTACCTCAGGGCCTCAGGGCCAGTCGCAGCCCTCGGCCCCCAGCACCAAGCTCAGCAGCGGGACCCTCCGAAGTGCCAGCAGCCCCCGGGGCGCCCGGGCCCGCTCCCCATCCCGTGGGAGGCACCCCGAGGAGGCCAAGAGGCAGCCCCGTGGACGGCCCAGGTAGGGGAGGGCTCAGCCCTGGTCTCACAGACCCCATTCCAACTGAATCCCCTCCTCAGAACCACAGCTGCCCCTCCAGGCCAGCCCAGCTGCCTACCTCCTGTCCTGCATATGGCTGGTCTCCCATCCATCCAATTCAGTGATTCCCAACCTCAGACCACCAGATCTTTCTCCTGACCCTTGAAGAAGTGAAGGCATTGTGAACCACAGTCTTGCGCCCATATCCAAATGCAGCAAAGTTTAGCTGAACACCTGCTCCATGTCAGGGGTCTGGAGGGGTACCCAAAAGAAATGTTAGTCCCAGCCTCTGAGGACAGACAGAAAGACAGGGCCAAGTGAGAGGAGGCTGGGGGTGGGTGAGGGAGTCAGGGAGGGGGTCTCAAGCTTGGAGAGGAGGCCTGAGGCGGGGAGGATGGGCAGGGGATATTCTCCGGTAGAGAGGCTGGGCTGACTCGAGGAGGATGAGATGGGGGGCTGTGGCTGGCTAGCATGTCCCGAGGACATTGGAGGGAGGAAGTTCATGGCAGGCTGGGAATGGCGGGCAGAGGAGTTGGAATCAACATGGGAGGAAGTTGGGAGTCGCTGAAGGCTCGTGAGCCAGGGATGACACAGTCGGAGCTGAGCTTCAGGAAGCTGAATCAGGCAGAGCGTGCAGGACTGTGGGAGTGGGCAGAGCCGGAAGCCAGGAGGCAGAAGAGGGGGCTGGGGAGCAGGAGTCGGCAGGCAGGGGGAGCCCCCAAGTGTCCTTTTCCCCCCATTCCCTGCTGAGGATACCAGAGCTGGAAAACACACTCAAACCCCTTCCCCCACTCTGATGCTCCATCTCCCACCCCCCGACCCAAGGACCCCTGTTCTCCCAGAGGTGCCCCCTCCCTCCACTCTCCCCTGCCTCTCATGCCCTCTGTGTATGCAGCTCCAGCGGAACACCCCGGGAAGGGCCAGCTGGGGGCACAGGGGGCTCAGGGGGGCCCGGGGGCTCCCTGGGCAGCCGCGGGAGACGCCGGAAGCTCTACTCAGCAGTCCCTGGACGCTCCTTCATGGCTGTGAAGTCCTACCAGGCCCAAGCCGAGGGGGAGATCTCCCTGAGCAAGGGCGAGAAGATCAAAGGTACTGGGGCCTGGCTGGGCTGTAGGCGAGGCATGGGCAGCTGAACGAACTCCTCAAGGAGAGGCCCATCCGTGACAAATAGTTCTCCAGCACCTAGGCTGTCCAGGGCACGCTGGAGACCTCTGAGAGCCCTAGGTGCCCCTTCCACCTCAGAAGAGCAGGAAGGGCAGCTGGGACCAGGAGGGGCGCTGTTAGGCAAAACAGGGATATGAGCGTTTGTGGGATGCCAACACCAGCCAAGTAGCTCCTGGAGCGCTTCCCCCAAGTGGTCCCATCTCACTATGACTGCCCTTTCAGGAGGGTGTCATGAGCCCATCTTATGGCTGGAGGAGTGGAGCCTTAAATGAGTGAAATGACTTGCCTGAGGTCCTCAGTCCGAGCCCATGGTCTTTCCAACTACCTTGTGTGGAGCATGAGGCCAAGTTGCTTCGACTTCACCTCCTGCCTCTGCCAGGTGTTCTCATCTGAGAAATGGGGTGGTGTCCATTTCCTGGGGCTCTGATGAGATGGCGGGTGGGTGAAACCTGGTCCATGCTGAGGGCTCCCTCAGCAGAGGCTGCTGTCATGGAGGTCTGCATCTCTTTGGTTTTCCTGTCTTCATCTGGAAAACCATGCCAGGATCCCCCATGTGTGCAGACTCCGCAGGGCTGTTGACATGTATTCTTGGATAGAATGGTGCTTTGGAGACAGGAAGCACCCTGCAGATGTGGTAGTTAATTCCAGGCTGAGGAACAAATCTTTGCCTGACACCCAGCTGCAGAGGAGCTGACTAGCATAGAGACTGAGAGCCAGGCTGCCTGGGTTCAAATCCTAGCTCCATCACTTCCCAGCTGGGCAACCTCAGGCAAGTGATTTCTCTGGGCCTCAGTTTCCTCGTCTGTACAATGGGACCCTTGCAGGGATTAAAAGAGTAAGTTCACATAAAGCCCTTAGAACCATGATTCACACATAATAAGCACCAGTCATCATTATCATAAGCAGTCCCCACTATAGGCTCTTAGAGGAGAGAGACCCTAGGCGCTGGGAAAGTTGGAGAGAGGGTCCTCCCATAGGAGACAGTTTAAGTGGCTCTTGAAGGCTGTTCAGGGATCAGAGTATCAGGCAGGTTGTGTAACTGCATCTGTTGTGAAGTCTACTCCCTCTCACCTGAGTTTCTGAAGACAAGGTCACATATCGCCAAGGTCTGGGTCTCCAGGACCCAGTTCAATGACCCAGCACCCAGGAGGCCTCGATGCATACCTGCTGAGTGAATGAATGAGTAACTGTGGGGGCTGGGGCAGTGCCTCTGGAGGCAGCATGCCTGGTGTGTGTGTGTGTGTGTGTGTGTGTGTGTGTGTGTGTGTGTGTGTGTGTGTGTGTGTGTGTGTATAGGGGGGTCGGGTCTGTGCTTTGAAGGATGCAAAAGGAGGAAGCTGAGGCCAGGGTGAGGGACCCACAGACAGAGGGTCACAGGCTGTCTCTTCCATGTGTCTTTCTGAACTTCAAGCCCAGTCATTCTCTGCACTGCCCTGTTTTCAGGTCCTTCCCTTTCATTAGAAGATGCTTAATTGCCTCAAAGCACGCCCACATCCACGATGTCACTGAGCTTTGCCACAGCCCAGTGAGGTCCCAGGCTCCCTCTGCTCTCAGGATCAAAGCCCGGTGCCTTAGCCTGACTTGCACATCCCTCCTCTGCCCACCCACCAACTTCATCTCATGTTACTCTTTCCTTCACCTGCAGGGTTCCTGGGACCTCATCCTCCTTTCCATCCCTCAGATGCCCCATGTGCTTTTCCATACCAAGCCCTTGGCTCATGCTGTTCCTTCTTCTTGGAAAACCTTTCTCCCTCTCTTTGCCTCCTCAACTCCTAGCATCCTTCAGGTCTCAGCCCATGTGTCACATCCTCTGGGATGCCTTCCTGGTTCCCCTTTGCCATTGCACTTATATATTCCCATCTGACCTTTCTCCAAACACCCTGTCCTTTTATCCTGTGTCTAGCCTGACGTCCAATTCATGACTGGCACTAAGTACATATTTGTTTGATGAATGAATAATTGATTCCATGACCACCCAGCCAAGCACGGCAGAGCCAGCCAAGAACCTGGACCCCTTGACACCCCATCTCTTGCTCTCTTCCATGACCTTGAGTGTCTCCTCGATTTGGTCTCCCCAGATTCTCTCAGAGGAGGTGGTTTGTGCAGGGAAAAGCATCAGATGGTCCCAACCCCAATCCTAGCATGGCTCGAGCCATCCCTAAGCAAAAGATTTTTCTGCTCTAGCTTCAACTTTCTCTGTAAAATGGGAAATCAGTTGTTCCCTACCGGCTAGGTGTAAGGATCAGATGAGTGGAGTACGTGAAGGACAGAGTGGAGACAGAGCTGTGAAAAATGCTGTATTAATGGAAGGCTGTGTGCTTGTTACTGTCACTGTCACCATCATCCGAAATGGCAGCAACAAAGTGCTTGAGCAGAGAGGTAGCAAAACATGAGTGACTAAAAGCATTTGCTCTGGAAATGGACAGAGCTGTGTTCAAATCCAGGCTCTGTCAGTTGTAAGCTTGTGCAGATGACCTCGGCAATCTGAGCCTCAGCCTCCCTACCCATAAAATGGGGCTAATGTAAGTGCCCCTCTGAGGGTCCTGGCCCCAAGTGAGAGCTGGATAAGCATTAGCTGTCCCTGCTGCCCATCTTTGCTGTAGCACGTAGCAGGGTAGCAGGCTGTCATCGGTCAGTGTGTGCTTGGTGGCTAAGAGGCGTGGCAGGAAGGGGCTTCCAGTGGAGAGAAAGAAAGAGGTGATTCTAATCTATTCTCCCTCTAGAGCCAGGGGAATCAAAGAGAGGCAGAAGGAGGGGTCTGGGAACAGATGACAAAAAATTAAGTGGCAAGGAGATGGTGGGAAGTGGCAGGGGCAGTGATGAGGGTGTAAAACTTGATCTAGGGGCCTAGGAGGGTTTAGGGCAATTACAGAACAACTGAGCTGTATCCAGTTACCAGGGGAGAGGAGAGCCATTTGTGGACATGTCCCTAACCTGTGAAGACTGTCTTATGGGACAAGGCTCTTTTCCCCATTGCCTCGTGATGTCCTCATTCGTTCCAAGAAGCTAATATGCAGGAGAGACATGATTTGTTTCTCCCTCTTCCCCCTTCTTGGGACATTTATTAAGGATGCCCTTGGGCTAGGTTCTTAGGTGCTGAGAATTGGGGAAAGGCTGTGCATCAAGTATTGGGAGTGGGCAGGGGGGAGTGGGGGTGGGCAGCATGGAAATGTAGAGATGTCTCTATGTCCCTGCTCCCCATCCAGTGCTTAGCATCGGGGAAGGAGGCTTCTGGGAAGGCCAGGTCAAAGGTCGCATTGGCTGGTTCCCCTCTGACTGCCTGGAAGAGGTGGCAAACCGCTCCCAGGAGGGAAAGCAAGGTAATGAGGAACAATTGTCCCCTAGGGTTCTGTCCATTACTTCCCCCCTTGATGTGGGTGGGTGCTTGGAGGTAGAAGGGGGACCCCTGGGAGCGGGCCCATGGTTTCCAGACTGAGGGTCCAAGGTCGTCCTTTGTCCCCCTGCAGAAAGCCGAAGTGACAAGGCAAAGAGACTCTTCCGGCATTATACCGTGGGCTCCTATGACAGCTTTGATGCCCCAAGGTAAATGTCCTTACACCCTCGGATGCCCCTCACACCCCAACCTCCCTGACACTCCACCTTTTAAATATCTCCACCACCTCTAGCCCTTTCTTGTCTGCTCCCTCTAAAGTCTGATCCAAGGGGTAGGGGAAGGCAGACTTAGCTTCAGACCACACAGCCCAACCCCAAACCATCTTTGGCAGCCACTAAGACTGCCCAGCTCTGGGGTAGCCAGAGACAAAAGAGGTGGATGGAGCAGGGTGGGGATGCCTGGGGAGCTGGGGAGCTCGTGTGTATGGCTGGCTGGAGGCTCCAGTCTCCTTCATGTGCCCCATCTCTGTGCGGTCCTGTGCAGTGGAAGTGTATGCAATCCCATGCCTGCACCGGTATGGGAAGGGGAGCGGGCAGAGCCGGGCCATGCCGGGTAGGGGCGGAGAGAAGGCACACTGACACCTTTCCCCTCCCTGGCTGCTGGCTGACTTGCTTCGGAAGCTTAATGGATGGGATTGGCCCAGGGAGGTGAGAGGGGAGGGGAAGGGAGGGGATGGGGTCAGAAACGGGAAGGAAGGGGTGCCTGGGGGTGTATGGACTATGGATGTGTGCACGACCAGAGCTGAAGTTTCCCTGTGTGTGAACGTCTTCCACAGGCGCGCGTCCCTGTACGGATTCCCTGAGTGTGTTCTTGCCCATGTCTCTGTAGGTGCACATGACATGCGTCTGGGTGCATGTGTGGCTGGAGGCCGCTAGATGTGTAGCCCTGTGCATATGCCTGTGACAGCGAGAGGGTCTGTCTTATTCATATAGATAGGTGCATTTGTGGCTGTCATTTATGGGTGCATGATTGTGGCTAATCGTGCAGCTGGCTCTGCACATCTATTTCTCTGAATCTGCGTGTCTGAGAATGAGGGTCCATGTTTCCAGAGATGTCCAGTGTGTCTGCTTACCACATGTGGACAGGTGGGTCTCTGCACACGCCTGTTCCTCTTAATGCATGTCACTGTGTGTGTGTGCATTAACACATAAAATTGTGTGCATGCATTTACATCTGTCTGATCTGGAATACAGGACCTGGGGTGTTGGGGGAGGGGAGGGCAGAAAAGCGGAGGATTCCGGGGCTTGGGCTTCCAGAAGGGCAAGGCTGTGGGGAAGGGAGGGTCATAAATGGGCATCTTAAAGAGACACCCTCCCTCACCGCTCCCCCTAATCCAGGGAAGGGTCTCCTTGTTCGTAGCATCCTTCCATTAAATGTGTCCAAACCTATGTGTCTGTGTTCTGGCCAGTGGGGATGGGTCGGGAGTGGGAAGAGGAGAAATGACAATATGGGAAGGGAGGGTGAGACTGGGGTGCCACCCTGCGCCCCGAGTGTCTGAGGCGCTTGACCATTGTGCATGTTCGCCTGGCACGTCTCCGGCTCTGGGCACTGGGTGAGTATTGAGGTCCCCTACTCTGAGTCTCCCCATCAGCCTCTGCTTCTTGTCGCTGTCAGTGTCTCTGGGTCTCGCCTTGGCTTTGGTTTGGGAATCAATTGCTCTACCAATTTGATGGGGGTGGTCACTCTCATCCTCAGCTTCTTCCATCTCCTCCCTCTAGCTCTGTCTTTTCAAGTGCATTTTCTCCCCTCCTTGTGCCCACTGGCATGTGCTGCTGCTGTGTGTGTGGTGTGTCTGAGCTTCTCCTCCTGCTTCCTCCCTGCTCTCCTCGACCCTGTCTGGGGTGGCCTGGCTTGTGTTGTGACCCTGCATCCCTGCTGGAGCTGTGCAGTCCTGCCACGTGTAGTCCCTCCTGGCCTGTGCTGCCCTCTCTCCTCTCCCTGGGGGTCTGCGGCTCTCGTGTGAGCTGTAGTGTATGAATGTCCCTCCGCCTGGGATTCTTGGTGGGGGAGGGGTGTCTCTCACTGCTCTGGCGCTCAGTCTGAACGTCCTGGCCTTCCGTTTTCCGGCCTTCCAGACTGTCTTGGGGTGCATCGTGTGTTGGTCTGCGGTGGGGAGCTCTATGTCCCTTCCTGGGGCCTCTCTCACCGCGGTGTCCGTGCTGGGGAAGTGGGGCTCGGTCCGCGCGTCCCCGCACGCGGTTGCGAGGCATCTTGTGTGATGTTGTGCGTCCCTCTCCCTGCTCTCCCTCTCTCTGCACCTGCGCGGGAGGGC